TTTTTTTTTTTTTTTTTTAAAAGAGTGCTTTACACTAACCTGCATCCCCAGCTCTTTTTATTTTTAAAAATTTGACACAGGGCCTCAGTAAGTTGCTGAGGCTGGCCTTAAACTTGTGATCCTCCTGCCTCAGCCTTCTAAGTCACTGGAATTACAGGCATGTACCTCTATGTCTGCTACCCTATGGATATTCTTGTGTGTATACAAAAAGAGAATGTATACAGTTATTTGCTATAGCGTTGTTTGTAATAGTGAAAATAGAAGTGTACCTAAGGTCAATTTTAAAAATAAATTACCTACATCTATACAATAGAATAAATGAATACTGCATAGATATAGAAGAATCTCTAATTCCGAAAATTCTTTTGCTATCTTTGGTAAATATATGTCTAAGATGTGACTATGTTAAGACCTTGATGACATCACTTTGCAAATGATCCCTTTTAATAGGGCATTTAATAGTAAAGAGGGTAGGAATAAACAGATAGAAAGAATGAGTAATTGTTTTTACAGTTTTACTTAATACTAAATTTCCTTATAGAAAGTATAGGACTTTTACCAATTAAATAATATTTGAGTAAAAACAAATGTATCTGAATACAGATAACCTTATTAAATAAAAATCCTTTCTTTGTACATTCAAATTCATGAATAGGTTTAAACTGGCAGTACCTATTGTTCATTTATTATGGGTGGATTTCCCATTTTACAAACAAACCTCTCTCACTTATGGGAAGAGGTTCCTGGTTTCTTTAGTATACATTTAGAAATGTCTTTAGTATACATTTCCTTATCCCAGAGGAGCAGAATTCCCCTCATATCCATCACATAACATCCACTTGCAGCAGCAGGGAATTTTGCAGAGGTACTTTTCTACTCCAGGGCTGTATACATACAAAAGAATGTTCATATATGTAAAAGCATAATGCATAAAGGATAATTTCTTGGTAACCATATATGCCCCTTAATCTCATCAAACCATAATTTGCTCACTGTTCCTCAAATAAAAATTTCTATTTCTTGTCTCTTTAACATCCTTTCACCTTTTATCCACTGCCCTCAATTGGAATCCTACATATGCATCTATATAAATACTACCATTTCAAGATCTAGGCAAACTCCTATCTCTCCATTAAAGGAAAAGTCTTTGCTGACTATTTTAACCTATAATAATCTAAGCCTCTGTTATCTGGCTCTAATATTTTGCTGCTTAATACTGTTAACTAGCTTTTCATAAGTTTTTGAGTTATCTCCCAATTAGATTGCAAGTTCCTTAAAGGCAGATTCCTATATTGTTTTTCCTCTATTCCTCATGCACCTACATAGTAGATATAAATGTCCTCGATTTATGACCCAATATATATAATTGGTGTTCTTTACAGATATTTCTAGAATACATCTATGTTTCTACCCCAATAAATTGAGTGTTTGGTGTCAGAACTCATCAGCTGACTCTGTGTCCCAGCCACAGGACTGCAGTTCATCCTGTGGGAACTCTACCACAATGTCATACACAAAATTTGGATCATCTTTCTTCTTCTGATTTTTCTCAAAAAGTTCATCCATGATGCTCTTCCTTTTGGCAAGCTCCTTGTCATCTAGTTTGTTCAGGTCTTCCTCAGGATCAATGGTTGTTTCCCGTTGAATTTGTTCCATCGTTTCTGCCAAACTCTGTCCCCATAAGTAACCTCGTAAAAAAGTGAATAACTTCTTTAGCTGCTTCAGGGATACTTGTTCCAGGTAACTCTTGTGTCGTGGATTATTCTTTAACTGTTCAGCAGCTCTGGTGCAGTCTAGGAAAGGGGGAAAACATATACTACATATATAATATACACCACAAGCAATTAATGCACCACAAACTGTTCCAAGAACAAAAATGCAACAAAAAACTCAGAACCCTGAAATCATTATCCACATTATAGACAAGTGGCTAAATGGCTTTATTGGAATTAACTATTTATAAAATTATTCTTTTATAATAAATTGAGTGTGAAGGGGGAAGGATGGATGTATTTTTTACTTAACTTAAAATCACTTTGTGGAGATGTAAAAAATTTCAACTGAAGAGCACATCTAAGAAGAAAAAAATGGCATTATAGCTTTTAGGCAGCAGTAGTGGTAGTAATAAAATGTTAAGATTATAAATTAAAAACATTTGGAGGAAGAGAAGTGAATTAATATTACTGAATAATATTATCTCATTTAGTCCACAACATTCTGAAAAGGATTAAATTATCAGTTAAAGAACTCGAAAAAAAATTATCAATTTCCTCTTATAGATATGGAAACTGAAGCTCACTGTCAATTTATCCAAAGGTCACACATCTAGTCCCCGATAAAGTCATGATTTGAATCTACATCTGTTGACTCTGAAGTCCATGTCACGTCATTGTAAGAGACTCAAACTGTACTTATTAAGCGACTTAGAGAACATTTTAGAAGGCAAGATAAAATATGAGGTACCTGAAAACTTTGAAAAATTTCGGACTGGCATGATGCGCTGGCGACTCTTTCCTTTGATTTCATTCTCATAGATTAAGATAATAGCTGGAGGCTGGAATCTAACTCCACATTTCTTGGCAGTGCACATCATTCTCACATAACTTTCAGGGTAAATCAGAGGAAACCTGATGAAAATGTGTTAGTTGCATAATAATTTCTGCAGACAGGGGTAGGGGAACAAAACAACTAGGTGTTGGATAGATAAATCTTCTTTCTTTGGCCCCACCTTCCCAGCATAGGCAGCTGTAGTCCAGTTCTATGCATGCTTAGCCTATGAAGCTCAATACTTAGAGGCCTAGCCTGAAATTCATTTTGGCTCTTAGTCTGTATCCCTTAGTTTCTCTGGGTGGGCCAGGTATGGTGGTACACACCTGTAATCCCAATGGCTCAGGAGGCTAAGGCAGGAAGACTGCAAGTTTGAAGCTAGCCTCAGCAACTTAGTGAGACACTATCTCAAAATAAAAATAGGATTGGGAATGTAGCTCAGTGGTAAAGTGCCCCTGGGTTCAGTCCCTTGGACAAAAAAAAAAAGAAAGAAAAAGAAAAAGATTCTCTGGTTCATTGAAAGATGTAGGTATGTTCACATATGAGCTGGGAGTACAATTCAGATGGAGTTCTTAGAATATGACACTCTTACTGAAGACTATATATGAACCCCTGAGTGAACCCAAGAACTGACTTATGGAGTCTTTCCTATTTATCAATTAAGAAACTGTGTATCAGGCACTTTTTATATCAAGGTATATGGTTATTTTAACTTTTGACATTTTGTCAGGCTGGCAAATGGTGCAAACCCTGTAATCTTGCCTATTTACAAGGCTGAGGCAGGAAGCTCCCAAGTTGGAGGCCAGGCACCTGGGCAACTTGTCAAGATGCTGCCTCAAAATAAAAAATAAAAAGGGTTGTAGATATTGCTCTGAGTGCCCTTGGGTTCAATCCTTAGTACTCTTAAGAAAAAAAAAAAAATTGTCCTACAAGGTTTGTCAGACCAAATCTGACTCCTGTATACTTGCTCAATTAGTTTACTCACAGAGAGTGTTTCTGAAATTGTTCATTTAATCATTCATCTTCCCTTCCAGTTTATATGCTTCATGAAGGTGCATTCCATTTTCACCACAACATCTCACAATATCTGGAATGTAGTTGGCATTCTATACATACTTCTTAATGCTATCTATTAATATAACACATAGCTCCTGTATGTCATCCAAGTATTTATAGTCCAGAAACCTGACCAAAGAGGCCTGATAGAGAATCTGTCTCTCACATACAGGTCAATAATGTTTACATGGCCTTTATTTCAGCTTATTTTTCTCACTATGTGATATTCTTCCAGCTATAAAAAATGGAGCTATTTCCAGATTAGCACTTTCTGTTTTTTCTTCCCTTCTTCACGCTCAGTGTCAAATACATTTAATTATAAAAACTGCTTTAGATGTGGCTATGACATTCCCAGGAAGATTTGAAAATTGTCAAAAACTGAGGTAGAGTGGGAGGAAAAACTTAGTTTTATTAGAAATTCACTATAAGAGTGTAGTTTTTAAATATTTTAAAAGTATTTATACATGCTCATTGTAGAAAACTGGGGAAAGGGGAGGAAGAAAACATGAATTAATCTCCCTTGATTACTTCATCCTTTTTTTCCCTATGCATACGGTTTTATTTTTTAAACTGTCATATATTTTTACATCATATATACTATTTCCTTTTATTAACCTATGTGATTATGTCATTAATACATATTTTACTAAAAGGCAATTTTTATAGCTGCTATGTGGATTTGTCTTATAATCTATATTATTACTTCTTATTGTTGGATGTGAGAGTTTGTGCTCTGCCTCTGATACGATCCAATGATCAAATACTACTCCCAGTTCACTAAAATTTGATGTTACTAAACTTTCTAGGAGATTCTACTGAGCACAATATAAACTGCACACACTACAGCAGATGGATGATGTACTTGGGAATGATGTATGCAATTGATACTATAAGACTTTATTTTCTCTTTCAAGTTTAACTTTCATTTTTACTAAAAAATGTTTGTATTCTGCTTGGAATATAACATAAATCCCAGGAGGATTATAACAAAAAAATTACTGTCCTCTGCTCTACCCATCTCCATAGTCAACAAGAGTCAATTCTTTTAGGCACTTTTCCCCCCCCAAAATTTATCCCCACATTTCTAAATAACATGATTATTCTGCTATTTTCAGTTTAAGATAGACACACACGCTACTCTTAGAGACATCCGCCCTAGAGCCTTCTGTCCTACCACCAGGAGAGGGTTGTTTCCACCCAACTGCAAAGCACAAAAGCACTCCCATCTGCAGTAGGTGTTCTCTAGGCTGCTTACAGATTTCGTTCAGTTCAGGACAAGGGACGGCACATTACCTAATTATTCTTCTTAGACATGAATACTTTTCTGCCCAGGCATAAGTGACTGCGAAGGTCTTGATAATTGTCCCCCACAGAACCTAAAGAGATACGATTTCCCAATGGGTAAATAACCTCTCCCTACTCACGTCCCTACCAGTGTAAGGATGACTTCTTACCCTTAGAGAAGTACAGAAAATGTTTTTCTCCTGCAGGCCAACGTCTAAACCGCTGGGAGAGGGTTGTTTCCACCCAACCGCAGAGCACCAGAGCGCACTTGGGTCGACTTTGAGGCCGGGCGGAGCCTGGCGCTGCAGGAAGAGGCCATAGCCACAGATCGCTGACGTCACCGCGGGGTGAACTCCTATGTAAGAGGCCGGAGCACTCCAGGACCAAGCACGGGCGGAGGAGGCCCGCTCCGAGCGAAAACCGCCAGCTCTCAGGCTTGAGAGCCTGGTCCAGGGCCCGCTGGGCGGCCCGCCCTCCCGAACCCCTCGAACCGTTCCCACAGCAACAGCTCGGGTGCACGTCACGACGCTTGCGTCGCTCCTTGCCCCGCCTCCTACCGGGGCCGCGGGAGGCGGGGCGGCACGAGAGCGCATTTTGGAGCCGGCCCCGCCGCTTTACGTTTCGCGGGAGCTTTGTGGTGCCGGTGCTGTGGAGAACTGGGAAATTGCAAGGCCGCGGGCGTGCGTTGCACTTAGCCCTCGGTCCTAGTCCCTTAACTCGGTGACTGCGCACTCTAGGAGCTGCGTGAGGCGTGTGTAGGCTCCTTTTTGCGTCTGCATCTGGTCCCCGCGCTCCTCTCGGGCGTCCGCCCGCCCGCCGGCGTCCTGGCTGCCCGGGCCGTGGCTGTCCGGGTCGTGGCCTGGCTGCTCCTCGGGGCGGCTGGGCTCACCCAAACGCTTGCCGCCAACTCCTCTGACGCCCCCTTCGGTGCTGGTAAAGGGGGCGGGGCTCGGGAGTGAGGTGGGGCTTGGCAGAAACTCCAGGCTGCAGGGTCATCTCCGCGCCGCGGTTTGCTGAAGTGCCTCGCGTACTCTGCGCGGCACTCTGGAAGGGTAGGGCGAGGTGGAGGAGGTTAAAACAAAGGCCGCGTGCCTTTCTCCTCCCCTCTTCCCTCCCCTTGCTCGTTGTTGTCTGGCCGATTCCGGGAGTTTGGAGAGATTTAGTCCGGGCTTAGTCCGTCCGAAGTGGGACTGGAGCGCTGTTTTAAAATATGGTAAAAGAAGTACAGCGGGGAAGCATTTTGCATTGCATGAAACTTCCAGCGACTAACGGGCTAGAAAAACCTCCGTGCCCTGAGAGGTGTGAGAATCCCAGAAGAGCAAAGACTTGGGTTGTGCGTGTGCGGAGGAAACTAGTTTTGTTTACAAACTTCTTTGGTGATTGACTGGTTTGGGTTAGGTTTTCTTTATGATTCGGGGGTGGGTCAGGAGTTGATGCATATCTTTGGACCCGAGTCCGTGAGCCTTAATGTTCTGCCAATTGCTGTGGATCCAGCCTTGAGCCAATCATGGAGCTTGCAGGATAGTGGGAGAGAGACACTTGCCAGAGAAATTACAATGCAATGACCGTGTTTGGATGGGGAGGGAAAGTTAGCACAAACCGTGTGAGTTTCTCCGCCTGTAAAATAAGGGTGTTAGACTAATGTGTGTCAATCAGCACAGTTCTGCTTTTGTGTGTTTACAGAATTACACTTCCAAATTTATTTTTAAAAAGGATTATCAGAACAAAGAGAATTTTCAAGCAGCTGGACTTGACATCTGTAAAGATTTCTCTAGCTTTGCATTTTATAATTGAAAAGGGGTCACTTGACAGAGACCATTTAGGCCACCTCAACCGAATAATATTTAAAAGGGAAAAAATCTTGAAAGTGAATCCAGATGCTTGATCTTCAATTTGAAATGATACTTTTGTCTTAAATATCATAAGTAACTAATATTTGCTTGCCTATTTGTGAATTGGCTTTTCTACCACCCCAGGATGAATGGTTTACTACTCTAGAGTTCATCCCAATAGAATTTAAACCTATTCATTAGACCAGAGACCTTGTGCCTATTAGAAGAAAATGTAGGCCCAGCTCTCCATCATGTCAGCTTAGGAACTGTTCTTCCGTGACACTCCTTTAGAAGTAAAATCAAGAATCAATAAATATGATGATATCAAACTAAAAAGCTTATTCCCAGCAAAGGAAACAAGAATATGAAGAGAAAGCCTACAGAAGGGGAGAAAATCTTTGCCACCTGTACCTCAGAGCATTGATCTCCAGGATATATAAAAATCTCAAAAAACTTAACACCAACAAAACAAAACAAAACAAAAAAACAACCCAATCAATAAGTAGGCAAAGAAACTGAATAGGCACTTCACAGAAGAAATATGATCAGTTAACAAACATAAAAAAATGTTCAACATTTCCAGCAATTAGAGAAATGCAAATTAAAACTACACAGAAATTTCATCTTACTCTAGTCAGAATGGCAATAATCAAGAATACAAGAAATAATAAATGTTGGCGGGGATGTGGGGAAAAGATACACTCATACATTGCTGGTGGGACTGCATATTGTCAACCACTCTGGAAAGCAGCATGGAGATTCCTCAGAAAAATTGGAATTGAAGCATCATTTGACCCAGTTATCCTACTCCTCAGCATATACCCAGAGGACTTAAAATCAGAATACTACAGTGATGCCGCCATATCAATGTTTATAGCAGCTCAATTCACAATAGTTACGCTGGAACCAACATAGGTGCCCTTCAACAGAGGAATGGATAAAGAAAACGTGGTATATAAACAATGGGATATTACTCAGCAATAAAGAATTAAATTATAATGTTTGCTGGTAAATGGATGGTACTGGAGATTATCATGCTAAGTTAAATAAGCCAATTGCAAAAAAACCCAAAAAACACCAAAGGTGGAATGTTCTCTCTGATATGCAGATGCTAACACACAATATTGGTGGTGGTGGTGAACAGAATAGAAGTTCATTGGATTAGACAAAGGGGAATGAAGGGAAAGGAGGCGGGATGGGAATAGGAAAGACACAAAATGAATTGAACATAACTTTCCTGTGTTCATATATGAATACATGAACAGTCAAACTCCACGTCTGAATAACCCAGAATGGGAAGTTATACTCCATATGTGTATAATAGATCCAAATACACCCTATGTTCATGTATATCTAAAAAGAATTAAAAAGCCTATTAATTTGAGAGATAGATGGTATCTGTTTATTTGGAGAAAAATTATATGCTTCTCCAAATCAAATAAGATTTCTTTAAGTAGCCAAGAGTGAAAATATCATAGGCTTTTATAAAAAAGTCAGGCAAGCAAGGTAGTGGTGTGCACCTGTAATCCCACTGGCTTGGGAGGCTGAGGCGGGAGGATCATGAGTTCAAAGTCAGCCTCAGTAATTTAGCAAGGCCCTAGGCAACCCAGTGAGACCGTGTATTTCAATAAAATACAAAAAATGGCTGGAGTTGAGTGCCCCTGTGTTCAATCCCCAGTACGAAATAAAGTCAGGCAAGTCCACACTTGTAATGAACAGTTTGGGAAGCTGAGGCAAGAACATTGTAAGTTCAAGGCCATCCTCGAAATTTCAGGATACCCTGTCTAAAAAAGGGCTGAGGATGAACTCATTGATAGGGAACCTCTGGGTTCAATCCTCAGTACCACAAATAATCAATCAATCAATAAATGGTAAAACTTGCTTCCAATCAGTCACTTAGTTTTATGCCCAGAGCCAGTTGCTAACTATAAGTCTGAGTTTCCTGTATGTACTAATGAAAGTAATTTTGCTTGCCTATTTGCTGGTTGTGAAATTTAAAAGAAAACATGAAAGCCCCAGGTGGAAGATTGAATGTAAAAGTAACATTTTCTAATATTTTTTCCTAATTTCAAATGGTTTCTTCAAATCATATTTCTTAATACATCCTTTCAGGATTATATCTAATGTGTTCAGTAATATTCCATAATATGTAGTTTTCTGTGTGTTTGTTTTAATATTCTTTCTATATAGTTCTAACTTGAGATGGGGCAAAGTTCTATAGCAAGATAGGTGCTGGTAGTATTGGTGGTGATAGAAACTGAATCTTTAGTTTTATGACACTTACATTGAGTGTTAAGTAATTTTTAGTGTCTGAATTTTGCATGGTGTCAGTATAGTAAGATTTCTAATTATTCTAAGTTTACAAAGGAACCCATTTAGTCTTTAAGTGACTCCAGTTTTCTTGCCTTTTTATTTAACCCAACATCTCCACAAGGCATAAATGTACAATTGTCCCAGTTTTATAGGCATGGATGTTAGAATACAGAAGTTTCTATTATGTCTCTCATATGTGCATAGTTTCATTGAGCTAGAATTAAAATAGATTTCCTGGCTCTTTAGCCATTTTCTTCTGTTTTGGTGTCCTGGAATCACCTAACTAAAGTATTTTTGGTGGTGGGCTGGAGATTGAATCCAGGGCCTCGGGCATGCTAGATAAGCACTATACCACTGAGTTATACTCCCAACCCTAATGTACTATTAATAACAAACACTTATATAGAGCACTTACCATATGGTAGGCTCTGTTCTAAGTGTTTCTCCATATCCTAAATTCTTACGGTAACCATAGAGAGAGAAACTATCTTGCCTAGACACATCACTATTAAGTGACAGACTGGAATTTGAAATCAGACAATCTAACTCCAAAGTCAATATCTGCCCCCCTCCTTTTTTTTTTTTAGTACTGGGGATTGAACTCAGAGGCACTTGATCACTGAGCCACATTCTTGGCCCTTTTTATTTTTTATTTGAGACAGGGTCTCAGTAAGTTGTTTAGGGCATCACTGTGTTGCTGAGGCTGGCTTCCTTCTATATCAGACTCCTGAGTCTTTGGGGTTACAGTTGTGGCTCCATAGTCAGTATTCTTAACCACTATGTTGTACTAGAAATAGATTTAGAGGTAGCTCAAACTTGTTTTTGTTTGCTTTTAGATTGACTACTTTTCTGGCAAGTAAAACCTATTGAAATAATTATTTTCTGATTATTTAAGTATTCTTTCATTGAGTGCTTATTTTAAAAAATCTTTTCATTCTTATAGGCATAAGGGCCACTTGTTCTGAAATTATTTTAAGGCAAGAAGTTTTGAAAGATGGTTTCCACAGGTAAGTTGCCCATATTTATATTAAAATACTATCTTATAATTTAGATTAAAAAGTTGATAGTTGAAACAGATAAATTGAAAAATCACTTTTAAAGTTTATCAGTGAGAGATTTATCACGTGTGGTTCATACTTAAAAATAATGTTTCTTTTTTTGTACTCAGGATTGAATTCAGGGGCATGCACCCACTAAGCCACATCCTCAACCTTATTTTGTATTTTATTTAAAGACAAGGTCTCACTGAGTTGCTTAGTGCCTCACTTTTTGCTGAGGCCAGCTTTGAACTCACAATCCTCCTGCTTTAGTCTCCCCCGCTGCTGGGATTACAGGTGTGCACTACCATGCCCAGCCAGAAATAATGGTTTTAATAACAGTGGAGAAAAGAAGAAAACATTGTTTACCATGCGTACTTTAATTTATATATATATATAGATATATATATATATATCTATATATATAGACAATAGCTACATATGCAGTGCTCCATTAAATCACAAATGGCTATGAGACACATGAACTTTTTCTTGCTTTTCAGATGTGGAAACTAGGGTTCAGAGAAGTTAAATCATTTGGTAGAAGTTAGGGTGATAAAGCTCTGACTCAGATTTAATACTATTATCCCATTATTCAAAGCTATGCACGCTCTTAAATACTGTCTGATACAACACTCTGAATCACTATTTCTTATTTACTAGACTTGGTTTCAAATAAAATTGTTTGAAAAAGATGAATAAGACTTTTGGTGTAGCTTAGTGGTAGGATCCTCTTTTAGCACATACAAGACCCTGAGTTCAGTCTCCAGCACTGGGAGGGGAAAAAAAGATGAACGAAGATGAGTGTTTGCAGTATTAAAGATCTTTGGACTGGTAAAAAGCTATGAAACAGTTCCATAAGAAAACTTCCCCAAACTTTATTTGTTCTATACATTATGATACCTGTGATTTTAAAATAATTTCATTTCATAGTCACCTTACATGAAATTCCTCTTTCCCCTCTCTTCCAAGTTAGTATAGCATATGCAGGGCCAGGAGAGAGAGAAAAAAAAAAAAAAAAACCTGGGCTGCTGTTACTTGGATAGATTTGGCCTCAAGATGTAGGTACTCATTATCTATGTGTCCTTAGGCAAGCAAGTTACTTAAGTCTTTTCTTTGTTATCAGTAAAACTGGGTAATGTTAGTATTTCCTCATTGGTGTTGTGAGGTTTAAGTCAGAGAATATATAGAAAGTTCCTTGATATACTAGGGAAATGTTAGCCATTATTATAATGAGGTAGGTGATCAAGCTAAGCAAGCCAGTTTTAGTCAAAGAGGAGATGTGATGGTAAAGTAGTAAGATTAATTTGGGAGAGAAGATGGTGAGAGGGCACTTCTGAAAGTTTTTAATGGAGTTCCAGAGACACATTTTAAGCAATGTCCAGGTAGTTAGACTAGGTACATAGCTTCTCTCTATTAGCATATATAAAACTATTGTTATGGTCTGAATTTCAAGAGGAATGGGGCTACTAAATAATGTAAATTTGACAGTGACATCAAAATGATTCTAATAAGGAAAAAAGAATTACTTGTAGAGGCTATTGTGATAAGAAATGTAGTTTTCCAATTACACAGAATGAAAACGGGACATAAAACCAACGAAGGATAAAGAATGGCAGCACCCATAATAGATTCAGAAAGTAGAAATCTGAGTTGTTTAAGATAGAAAATGTCAGTAATCCTTTTTTTTTCCCAGAAGGCTTATTAGTTATGTTTAAAGCAGATGTCTTGCTGCTAGAATGAATGAGGAAGGATTAACAAGTTATAGAACATTAGAACTTTTTTGCTCCTTTTCTTCTTGGTCACAAAGATTTACTTCTACTCTGGAAAGGGCCAAACAAATATTCACAGTAGAGAACTAAAGTGCAGAATACATAAGGGAATCATACAAAAGGGCCTACTATTGTAAATAAGTTCAGAGTCTCCCTTCCTTGATGAACTCTCATTGCAGTAGGAGAATTTGCTTAAAAGATTGCTGAACTAGGGCTGGGGATGTGGCTCAAGCCGTAGCACGCTCGTGGGGCATTGGGTTCAATCCTCAGCACCACATAAAAAATAAAATAAAGATGTTGTGTCCACCAAAAACTAAAAAATAAATATTAAAAAATTCTCTCTCTCTCTCTTTAAAAAAAGAAAAGATTGCTGAACTAATGTTTATAACCTTTGGATAATCTGGAAGTTAGAACTACAAAATTGTGAGCTTGGTGTTGGTGTAGATTCTGGGCAGAATTCTAGATCAGATTATTAAAAGGTTGGTTTATGAACACAGAACAGGAAGAGGTGGTCGCTGGAAGTTATCATGAATTTATTACAAATATTTCCTTTATAAAGTTGGTAGATAGGTGGATCAGGGAAGTGCTATAGTCATGGTGTATCTGATTTTCTTGAATTTTTTTTTTTGTGTGTGTGTGTGTGTGTGTGTACTGGAGATTTAACTCAGGGGCACTTGATTACTGAGCCACATCCCCAGCCTTTTTTTGTATTTTATTTAGAGACAGGTCTCACTGAGTTGTTTAGCCCCTTGCTTTTTGCTGAGGCTGGCTTTGAACTCGCTATCCTGCCTCAGCCTCCTGAGCTTCTGGGATTATAGGCATGCGCCACTGCACCCAGCTGGAAGTTTTTTTTTTTTTTAAATAAAGTTTTATATGGTGTCTGTGAACAAGATGAAGAAATGTTGCCTGAAAGATAATTAAGACAAATTTCTTTATAAAAATTTAAAAATACTCTAGGTGTGTTGGTAAATGCCAGTAATCCCAGTGACTCAGGAGGCTGATACAGGTGGATCGCAGGTTTGAGGCCAGCCTTGGCACTTTAGTGAGACTCTGTATCAAAATAAAAAATAAAAAGTTCTAATAAATAGCCACCCCTATTTATTATTAATATTTGAATGTACTTTTAATCCTTTTAATCTATGTCTTTTGTTTAATGTTTTTTGTAGATAGCATGTAGTCAAGTGTTTCTATTTCATGTAGTCTGTCAGTCTCCATATTCTAATTGGAATGATTAGACCATTTACTTTATTATTTTTTATAATTGGTTTTGTGATACTAGGGACTGAACTCAGGTGTTCTCCACTACTGAACTACATCTTCAGCCCTTTTTATTTTTTCATTTTGAGATAGGGTCTTGCTAAGTTGCTGAGGCTGGCCTGGAGCTTGCAGTCTTCCTGCCTCAATCTCTAAGTTGCTGGGATTATAAGTATATGCTACTGTGCCTGGCCAGACCATTTCTTTTTTTTTTTTGAATTTGTTTATGGTACTGGGTACCAGGGTGCTTTAGCACTGAGCTACATCCACAGCCCTTTTTAAAATTGAGTTTATTTCAAGTTATTTTTTGTTTCATTTCTTTTATTTATTTTTTTGTTCCAAGCCAGTCACATCAAGTTACCAAGGCTGGCCTCAAACTTGCAATCCTCTGTCTCAGACTCTCAAGTTGCTGGGATTACAGGTGTATGTAAGTGTGCCTGCCCACACCATTAACTTTTATGTAGAGTTTTTTTTTTTTAACCTTTGTTTTATTTATTTATTTATTTATTTTTATGTGGTACTGAGGATCAAACCCAGTGCCTCACACATGCTAGGTAAGTGCTCTACCCCTGAGCTACAACAGCAGCCCCAACTTTTATGTAAATATTGATATAGTTATTTTGGTTTAAATTTATCCACCTTGCTACTTTTTTTCTCTTTCTTTTTCTGTTTGTTCTCTAGTTTTTTCTCTCTCATCTTATTTGGAATAAATTGATTATAAATCTTAGAATAGATTAACTTCTTTATGCTTTTGTTGTCATATGTTTTACTTCTGTTATAAACTCCTAATTACATTGTTGTTATTTTTGCTTCAATTATATTTTTTATATTATTTATTTTAATTGTGATACAATACCCATAACATAAAAAGTCATCTTAACAGTTTTTAAGTGTACACTTCAGTGGCCTTAAGTACATTCATATCGTTCTGCTACCATCACTGCTATTCTTCCATATTACTTTTTTCATTTTACAAAACTGAAATTCTGTACTCATTAAGTAATAACTCCCCTTTCCTCTGGCTCCTGGCCACCATTTTGCTTCATGTCTCTATGAATTTGACTTCCCTAGGTACCTCATATAAGTGGAATCATACAATATTTGTGACTTACTCATTTTCCTTTGCATAATATTCTTAAAGTTCATTCATGTTGGAGCATATATCAGAAAATTTCTTCCTTTTTAAAGCTGAATAATATTTCATTGAATGTTGATGGACACTTGGATTGTTTTTCTCTTTTGGCTATTACAAATGATGTTGCTAGGAGTATATATGTACAAATATCTTTCCAAATTCTTACTTTTGATTCTTTTAATTCCTAGAAGTGGAATTGCTGAAGTAGCAAGGACTAGAGGTTCACACCACCAGACCTGGCCAAAAAAGTCTTTTGTATTTACCCGCATATTTACCATTTCTGATGTTCTTCAAGAGTTTTTCTTGTGGATGTTTCCATCTGTTTATCATTTTCTACCTGAGGAATATCTTTTACTCTTCTTGCAGTGAGAAATTCACTTAGTTTGTGTTTGTCTTAGTCTTTATTTTGCCTTCATTTTGGAAGGATTTTCTCCAGGATGAATAATTATAGACTGACAGCTTTTTTTGTTTTATTACTATAAATATGCCCAGTCTTGTACAGTTGCAGCCTACTTATGCTATGTCTTATGGCTTAGGCTTATTGTAGTTACTTTCTACAAAGTGAACTTTTTCTTGATAGCCTTTGACTGTTTTTCTTTATTTTTTTGATTGGAGAATAATATACTTTGGTGTGGTTTGTTTATGTTGATCCTGCTTAAGTTTTGTTGGACATCTCAGACTGATGGGCTTATAGTTTTCATGAAACTTGGAACATTTTCAGCCTTTAATTTTTCTGTCACATTCTCTCCTCTTTTTCTAGGACTCCAGTTGTACATATACTAGACCACTTGCTATTGCTATTTAAAGATCACCGAAACTATTTATTTTTTCTTCCCATTCTTCTTTATTCTCTATGCTTCAGTTTGGATAGTTATGCTGCTCTGTCACCAAGTCAGTGATCTTTTTATTCTTCAGTATCTAATTGTTTTTAATCACATCTGGGTAACTTTATTTCAAGAGTCTTATTTTTTATCTCTTAAAATTGCATTCAGTTTTTTAAAAAATTACCCTTTTTTTCTTTCAGAATGTCCATGCTTGTCTTTAAATCCCTGAACCTATATGGTGTATGTACAAATACTGTTTTAATGTCCATTTTGTTACTTTTGTCGTTTCTAGGTCTGTGTCTATGGACTAATATTTTCCTGGTCATGTTTCCCTGCTTAATTGCATGTTAGTAACATTTTATAGGATGCTGAACATGGAATGTTTTTGATACAAACATTATTGAGTTGGATTGTCTTCTTTTAGAGACTTTTTAGAGCTTTTCTTCTTTTGGCAGTTGTGACTTTTTTTAGGAGTTTTCTTCTTTTGGCAGTTGTTGCTTATCAGCTTGATCCTTTTCTTTTATTGATACTGGTATTGATCCCAGGGGCACTTTATCATTGAGCTATATCTTCATTCCTTCATTCCTTCTTGTTTTTAAATTAAATTTAAAAAAAATTTTTAAGACTTAGTAAGTTGCTTGAGGCTAGCCTTGAACTTGTAATCCGTCTGCCTCCCAATCTGTTTAATCCTTTCTTAACCATTTTTTTCCCCTAAATGTATATTCTTAAAGCTAAAGTGACATTTACTCTAAGGCTAATTTTTCTACTAAGCCTTACCAGACTAGGGTCTGTAGTGAGTGCTTCAGTTTCTGTAAGTATTGGTTGGTTGGAACTTGAATGTCATCCAGTTAGTCCTGTGTGAAATTTTGGAGTTTTTCACTTTTCAGTTCCCTGGTCTTTTTTTGCCCAGTTTTGTGGAGTTATATCTCACTTGTGCTTATCTTGGTATTTGGCAAAAACTCAAGGGATTTCTATTAATTGATTGATTCATTGATGATTGTACTGGGGATTGTTTTTACTTTTATGGATATGATGTTATGCTAGTTCATTTAACAATCAAATGAAGAAATTTATTTTAAATGCACTTGTTTTTCAGAGACCTTTTAATAAAAGTGAAATTTGGAGAAAGCATTGAGGACTTACAGACCTGCAGACTCTTAATTAAACACTATATCCCAACAGGACTTTTTGTGGATCCTTATGAGTTGGCTTCATTACGAGAGAGAAACATAACAGAGGTACAGCCATTAATAAATTTTTTTAGGGAATGATATAATTTGGATTAAGATAAAATAGTAGATAAGACAATTTTATAGTATTTTAAAATTGTTATTGAAGTGTATAAAGTGATATCTTCAGAGACGGGAATATTCTTCAATAAATAATATTTGTTAGGACTAAGCCACCTAAACTGAGCCAGTTAAATGCTTTTCAGCAGAATGATTCATAGTTTAGTGACTTAGGAAAATTATGTTCATGTGTATTCATACACACAAAACGTGTGTATATAAACATACATATATATATGTATATGTGTATGTGTGTGTGTGTGTGTGTGTATCTTGAAAAGAATGCTTAATAAATAGTGCTTCAATAGCCTATATGTTAAAGTAGATAGACATGTGCCCTGCTATCTGTATAATTCGGAAAAGAAACTAATATTTAATATTTATTTAATTTTTGTATATTTGTTTCTAAAGGAAGCAAGGTAAAATTAATCTTTATAACATTCCTGAAGGTATTATCTCCGTTTTATAAATAAGAAAACTGAAGCACAAGGAGGCCAAGTAACTTATAAAAGATCATATAGATAAATGGTAGAGCCAAGAAATGAATCTAAGGTTGTCTGGTTGTAAAGTTGTTGCACTTTCCTGACATGAATCTCACATAGTCAAGAGTTTACCCAACTTTGATAAGAACAAAAATAATGGGTACTTTTTATACAGATTATTGTGTTCCTGGGAAATCCCAATTTAGTATATCTAGCTTGGTTTCAAACACCTTTTTTAATAACCCAGGTGGTTCCTATTAAGAAATTTTGGGCCAGATAGTGGCACATGCCTGTAATGCCATCTACTTAGAAGGTTGAGGCAGGAGGATTGCAAGTTTGAGGCTAGCCTGGGCAATTTAGCAAGACTTTGTCTCAAAATTGGGGGTATAGGGGCTGGGGTTGTGGCTCAGTGGTAGAGTGCTCACCTAGCATGCACGAGGCACTGGGTTCAATCTTCAGCACCACAAAAATGTAAGATAAAGATATTGTGTTCCCCTAAAACTTAAGAATAAATATTAAAAAAAAAATTGGGAGTGTAGCTTAGAGGAGAGTACCCTTGGGTTAAATTCCTAGTACCACCAAAGTGGGGAAAAACAAATTTTGGGAAATTGTCTTAGTTAATAATATTTTTTTGGTATCAGGGATTGAACTCAGGGCACTTAACCACTAAGCCACATCCCCAGCCTTTTTAAAATATTTTATTTAGAGACAGGGTCTCACTAAGTTGCCAAGTGCATCACTAAGTTGCTGAGGCTGTTTTTGACTCCCAGTCCTGCTTCAACCTCCCGAGCTGCTGGGATTACAGGCGTATGCCACTGCACCTGGCTTCACATAAGAATTTTGTAGTCATTCACGATGGCAGTTTATTTCTAATTGTGGTTTTAAGACAATTTCTTCACCTTTTTCATTTATTTTAACTTTCTCTAACAGAGAAATATATTCTCATGGCTTAAAATTCAGGAGATAAAGAAAGGTCTGTAATGCTAAGTTTCTGACTCTGAATCCTCAGTTACCATATTTCTTCCTTTGTTCTAAGTTTTTTTTGTGTGTATGCATGTCAGTTTAGATACGTGTTCCTATATGGGAGGACCTCATTATTTTCTTTGCCAAGTTATGACTTTTAAGTGAAGCTTTTAGAATTTAAAATAATAGGTTTCAAATTTAAACATGGTTCTTGGCTTGTAATTATGTGAATTGGAATTTTATTTAAACATACTTAATAAAATCACTTATCATGTTCTAAGAAAATGAAAGTGTTTGGATAGGGTTATCCAAAAGGAAGTGAAAGCACCCACACTTTTGATTGGGATGAGATTTGGTTGATTAGTTTGAATGTTATAAGAAAAGGTGGAAGGGAAAGGATGCCCCTATACATTGATTGACAAGTTTCTCTTTAACTGATCTTCTAACCATCTTTCGAATCCCTAATTATAATGTTCTAAGTATATTTATTTAAAAAATTTCTACAAAAATAGATGCCAAATTTGTGATAGGTAATTAGAAGTTTATTTCTTGATGTATCAGATGCTTTTCCTTTTCCTAGCTGAGAGACTGTGGCCTAATTCCTTATGCAGAGAGATTTTGTCATGAAAAGTGGTATTTTATGATGAGGATAAAGGGGAATTTATATAAAGGGATTAATTGATGCCTATATACCTAGACTGATTTTTTTTTTTTTTGGTCTAGGGGTTGAATTTGGGGTGCTTAACTGAGGGTGCTTAAGCCACATCCCAGTCCTTTTTGGTATTTTATTTAGAGACAAGATCTGAGTGAGTTGCTTAGAGCATTACTAATTTGCTGAGTGTGGCTTTGAACTCACAGTCCTCTGCCCTGGCCTCCCAAGCTGCTGGGATTACAGGCATGTGCCACTGCATCTGGCTACAGTGAGATTTTAAATTCTTTTCCTATAGATAAATAGAATTGGGCTCTCAAAGCACATGGGTGGTATGATAACAAAATGCTTTTTAAGTAGCTTGTGAGCAATTTGGAAATAATTGCAAGCCTTTAAATAGGTTCACTAAGGATAAGATACACACCTAATAAATACTCACCTCATTTTTAGGTAGGGCTATTAGACAGTGTGACTGGATCCAACTTAAGGCCTCATCCATGGTAGGCAGTACTCTACCATTGATCTATGTCCCTACTCCCTCTAGATATTTTTAATCAAATTTGTCATATATTTTAAGAACAGTATAATATTAAATTCCTATTTTATAGATCCAAGTGAAAATAGTGTTTTTGAAACCATATGTTTTGCCAAATCAAAATATGTGGCATTAATACTTATGCCTCTGGATAAGTTGGAGAACAAGGAACAGATTTAGTCTCCCACCTGAAATAACTAGAATACATGAAATAATGAAAAAAAAGTCACTGACTATCAGGCAATGATATCTGAGAAGGGAAATAATCAAGGTGAGCTCTATGGTTGTCCTGGCTTACTTCCTTGAGAGAGGTTTCTGGTTGTAGTGCAGGGAGGAGGAACTCAAACAGAGCCTGATGGACTTCTTGAGATAAAGTTAGGAATCTGGGGAAAGGAAGGTCATTAGAATTCACAGGACAGTATATTTGAGGAGAGAGAATTGCATAGAGGCAGAACTCCAGAGATCCGTACAAGGTTGCCCTCAAATATGTAGCTGAGTATTCATTAGTGCATGTATGTGAGGAAACCACCTGATGCCAGGGGGAGAACCATCTGACAAAATGAGAGGTAACAGTGCTTGGTCTCACACAGCACCAAGAGTATAGTGTCTCTTTCCACTGAGCAGCCTGAGAAAAGCTTCATAGTTTACTGGACAATGGATAGAGTAAACAGAACAGCTTTTATTCATTAGTGGGGAGCACTTAGCCTAAAACTGAGCATTGCCTCAGTCCTGCATAACAAATCTTAAAAGTAAGACCCTCAAAAAACCAAACTGTTTCCAGCCTGGCGTAGTGGCGCACGCCTGTAATCCCAGTGGCTGGGGAGGTTAAGGCAGGAGGATTGTGAGTTCAAAGCCAGCCTTGGCAAAAGTGAGGTGCTAAGCACCTCAGTGAGACCTTGTCTCTAAATAAAATACAAAATAGGGCTGGAGATGTGGCTCAGTGGTCAAGTGCCCCTGAGTTCAATCTCCGGTAACCCCCCCCCCCCCAAAACAAAAACAAAAACAAAAAATCATTTCCAGATAACCTAATTGCATCTTTTTTTTTTTGTGTGTGTGTGTGTGGTACTGGGGATTGAACCCAGGACCTTCCACATACAAGACAAGAACTTTACCAACTGAGCTATATCCCTAGCCCTTAACCTAATTGCATCTTAAACGAAGCTCAAGAATATTATTTATAGGAAAGAATATATACAATCAAAAATGAGTAAATAAAGCATTTTGAATGAAAAAAAGAATATAGGAATACAGAAATACCTAGCATCAAATGAGATCAGGTTCACAATATTATGACTTCTTTGAAAAAAGTAGCAGAGACCTGAGGGGTTTGCATAGTGGTAGAGAACTTGCTGAGCATGGACGAATCCCTGGGTTCCATCCCTAGCACTACACAGACTCACACAAAATCTAGCAGTTATTTAAGTGTATATGAAAATAAAACCTATATTGAGGAGATGATTTAATTGATTGAAACCAATCCAGAACTGGCATAGATGTTAGCATTAGGAAGCAGGTCATTAAAACAGTTGCTGTAACTATATTCAGTATGTTCAGAAAGTTGAGACATGGAAGATACTGTAAAAAAACAGCACTGAACTAACATTTAAGATTACAGTGTGTGACCATCCTCAGTTCCCAAGTATGATGATGGGGTGATCACAATGCTGGGTGAGATGTGCTTCCCTCTAAACCTTCTTATGATGTTTTGATCACATTACCCACCTGATGTGGAAAAAAGACTACAGTGTGTGAGACAAAAATAACTCTGGATGGGATAAATGGCAGATCAAATACTGCACAAGAAAAAATTAATGAATTTGAAGGCATAGCAATAGAATCTACCAAAAATATAAAAAGATAAAAGATCCAATTTAGAAGGTGACTGGAACATAAGAGAACTTGTGCGACAACTTCAAGTGACCTGGTATACAAGTAATTGGAATCTCCATTGAATAAAAAGAGGTGAAAATGGAAAAAGTTTTGAAAAATAATGACTGAGGACTATCTGAATTTGATGAAAGTTGTAAACTGACATATGGTTAAGATGCTTAAGTCCAAGAAGCATGAAGAAAACTACAAGTCACATGTCAACCAATTTTTTCTACAATGAGAAAAAAAACTCTTAAAAGCAGTGAGAGGGGGCTAGGATTGTGGCTCAGTGGTACCACATGAAAACTAAATAAATAAAATAAAGATATTGTGTCCATCTACAACTAAGAAAAAAAAAACAGGAAAAAAAACCTTGCATATACAGAGAAACAAAAACAACAATGACAGCAGATTTGTCAGAAATAATGTAAACAAGACTGTGATAACATCTATAAAATATTGAAAGAAAAACCTGTGAAATTCGAATTCTGTACTTATTGAAAATGTCTCAAAGTGAAGGGGAAATGAAGGCTTTCAGATATACGAAGCTGAAAGAACTCATCATCAGACCTCCACTACAAGAAATGTTAAAGCAAGTCCTTTAGGCGGGAGGAAAATGATACCAAGTAAAATCTAGATTTATACAAGGGAAAGAGAATGCTTAAAAGGGTAACTTTTTTCTCTTACAATTTAACTCTGTATGAGACTTACTGACAAAAACATCAGTGTAGTGTAGTATTAGTACTATATATAAAAGTAAAATGTGTGACAAATATTACAGAGGTTGAATGGGGAAAATTAGAGGTATAATTTTATTAAGTTGTGAAATGAAACATGAAGTCATTTAATGTCACTTGAAGGTAGACTGTAATTTGTTAAACATGTAAATCCTGAAGCTATCACGAAAACAAAGGTCGTAGCTAATTTGTGACAAAGCAGATGCAATGGAATTATAAAAAGTATTCAGGTAGCTGGGTTTGGTGGATTACACATATAATCCCAGTGGCTCTGGAAGCTGAGGATCTCAAGTTCAAAGCCAGCCTTAGTAACTGAGGCCCTAAGCAATTTTGTGAAACCCTGTTTCAAAGTAAAATATACAAACTTCTGGTGGCTCAGTGATTAAGCACCCCTGGGTTCAATCTCTGGTACCAAAAGAAAAAAAATATTCAGTTAATCCGAACAAAGACCATGTTATAAGTAGAGAGCAAGTAACAAGATGATGTACTTAAACTTAACCATATTAATAGCTATATTAAGGGCAAATTTCTAAATATCCCTATTAAAAGATAAAGATCTTCAGATAAGAAAGCAATATTCCTCAACTGTTATGTTGCTTATATGAAATGTATTTTAAATTTAAAGACAAGCTAAAAGTAAAATCAAAAGAAAGTTGTCAATATTAAAATTAGGAAATAGATTTTGGAGCAAGCAAAGACTGTCACCAAGTCCTTTGGTTAATGAGTTCAGTGCATGAGAAAGAAGTAACAATCCTAAATATTTATGCACCTAATAAAAGAGCTTCAAAATGCATGAAGCAAACCATGCAAAGTGACACTCTTGTAATTTCAGCTAATTGGGAGGCTGAAGCAGGAGGATTACAAGTTTGAGGTCAGCTTGGGCAATATAGCAATACCCTATTTCAGAGGAATGAATGAATGAATAAAATATTTACAGGGCCTGGGACTTAGCAATAGAGGGCTTACCTAACATGTGAGATTCCATCTCCAGCACTGTACACACACAATCATTTGCCATTTTTTCCATTAACCTTTTATACACATTGTAGAAAGAGTTGCTGACCTTTGCCTGACAACATTGTACTACCTTACTACCACTCTAGTTACTTCACTAAAGAACAGAAGATTACCAGAATGATATTAATAATTTATAGCCTAATATAGGTTTAATAGATTTTGTCATAGTAGCTTTTATACTTATTAAATAATGCTGTTTTTATTCACACAGTCTCTTCTTGGTACCTGTTTTGTCACCTAAACAGAGGTTAATAAGGAAATTTCACAGAAATAACTTTTTATGGGTAAATTTGGCATCCCAGAGTATAATTTCCCCAGTTTACTTTTATTATAATAAACACAGATCACATCCTGTGTTTTCTACTTAAACTTGAGGATGGAAGGGAAATGAAAAAGGTTGATAATGGGGGTAAATTTGACACTTCTGTATATTTGCACTGCAGTCTTCTGGTTTTACTTGTGTCTTTATTTTTCTTCATCCATTTCTTCTTCTTCTTCTTCTTTTTTTTTTTTTTTAATATTTTTAGCTGTGGATGGATACAATATTTAATTAATTAATTAATTAATTTTTATGTGGTGCTGAGAATCGAACCCAGTGCCTTGCACATGCCAGGCAAGTGCTCTACCACTGAGCCCACAACTCCAGCCTCTTTTCTTTTTCTTGATTAATGTCTGTTTTCTCTTCAACAGGCAGTGATGATTTCAGAAAACTTTAATATAGAAGCCCCAAACTATTTGTCCAAGGAATCTGAAATTCTCATTTACGCCAGACAAGATGCACAGTGCATTGATTGTTTCCAAGCCTTTTTGCCTGTGCACTATCGTTATCACCGGCCACATAGTAAAGATGAAGAAACATTTGTTATAGTCAACAACCCAGATTTATTGATGTATTGTGACCAAGGTGCGTATTTCAAGTCTTTTCTGAGGGTTGAAAATAAGAATTGAGGGTATGATTCCAAGTCTTCAGTCAAGGACAGGGATGGCAAAAGCATGTTTCCTTTTTCTTTTAAACTTTTTTGATTGTAAAATGAAGCCAGGTATAGAAAAAAACTATATATATATATATAATTTAGAGAATTATTATAAGGCAAATACCCTTGTAACTACCACCCAGTTCAAGAAATAGAACTTTGCCAGCCACCTAGTGGGAACATATTCTTTCCCACTCATAGTCTATTCCTTCTCTTTAACACTAACTCACTCTACTGATTTAATCATTCCCTTGTTTCTCAATACTTTTACTACCATAATGGGCAAGATTCTCAGACCCTATCATTTAATCTTGTCCATTAAAAGAAATCTGTTATTTCCATTATGCCTGTTAGTTCAGTTTTTCCTCATTCCTTCTTTTCTTCAAAACTAATGTATTGAGAGGACCTGGGCCATTTGACCTGTAGGGTTTCTCATGATTGGTGTTTTCCTAATTGTACCCATGATGCAGTTCATCATGTTCCTCTGACTCCTTTAATTCCCAGAAATTGGCAGCTGACTCCAGAGGTATGGTTAGATCACTTGCTTTTTTTTTTTTTTTTTTTCTCAGTACTGGGGATTGAACCCCGGGGTTCTCTATCACTAAGCTCTTCCCCAGTCCCTCCCCCCCCCAATTTTTTTTGAGACATTCTTGCTAAGTTACTGAGCCTGGCCTTGAACTTGTCATTCTCCTACCTCACCCTCCTGAGTCACTGTGTTATAGGTGTGTACCACTGTGCCTAGCTGTCACCTCTTTTGTTGTAAACTTTGTTCATGAGCTTTTGGTTTTGCTCTGTAATTGTTCTTTTTGTGGAGATTTGGGTAAAGTAAGAAAAAAAAATTATTCTTTTGCTTTTTCTTCTTCACAGTCTTACAGTCTTTGAATTGAGTTTTTTTTTTTTAAAGAAGCCCCTTTCAGATTTTGGATCCTTGTATCTGCCGCAGTCTGGCTGGGCACAATCAGGAGCCACTTGTCAAAAGAAACTAACTTTATTTTTAGAACCACACACGACAAACAAAATAGTCTCTCAGGAAAAACCCTCAGAGCCTCAACTGCCACCACCGGCTTTCCACAAGCCTCTCTCTCCCACACAAGCTTCTCTCCACCTCCCACAATCCTCCTGCTCTTGAGGCCGATTGGCTGGGTCACGTGGGCGGAGCCAAAAAAGTCCCCCAATGAGCAGCTCCGTGGTCTGAAAGGGCAGGGAAACAGTCCAATGAGCATCACCGCAGAGGAGCCAATCAGCTAGATGTTGCTGGGGCCGAGGAGCCAATCAGCTAGATGTTGCTGGGGCTGCTGTGAGCCAATCATCAGCCGGCAGCTGGAAGTTTGCTGGCAGCTGGAAGTTTGCTGGGGCCCCTCAGGCTGTGGCTCTCAACATCTCCCCCTCTCTGTTTAAACAACAAGCATGTGGCTTAGGGACCGTGCCTGTTAGGCAGTCCAATTCAACATATGGTCCTTACCCGTCATCGGATGAACTGACCTCTAGGCGTCAGCCTCCTGTCTTAGGTTGGTACCACTGCAATTGGATCATACCCGTCACTGACTACCGGTCCAGCATACAGCCATACTTGTGGATAGGCCTTTGCACCTGTGGGGGGGTGAGGTTCTTTGCCTCACCTCTGTTGGCCCCCAAATTTTAGACCATCACTAGTAGAGGAGGATGCAAAATGCCATGACATTAAGCCAATTGAGGGCTCCTTTGAAAAATTGTACCACCGGTGACATCATCAGCAAAAATACCCCAACACTACCATAAGTCGCTGCACCAACAGATATTTCACAATGCATACAGGTGAGCTCACAATGTGTCCAGGCAAGTTCTGCAAGCAGTTCAGTGATGGCTATTGTAGAAGCTGTAGATTGGTTTTATCTTTGACTTCACCAGCACTGGGATGAAGATAGGAATTCTGGCAATAATGGCTAAAGAAAAAATTATGTAACATTACAGAAGGCACTAAAAGAAAACAATTTTCTTAACAATTTACATTGTCTTCACCGGCACTGGGATGAAGATAGGAATTCTGGCAATAATGGCTAAAGAAAAAATTATGTAACATTACAGAAGGCACTAAAAGAAAACAATTTTCTTAACAATTTACATTGTCTTTAAGAGAATTATTAAATATAATGAAAAGGAAAGGTGAAAGTAAACAAACAGATCTGTTAACCTTCTTTTTTGTTTACATATTAAAACAATCCTCAACAGTTGTTTACCCAATTTAAATTAAACCATATAAATCACGTGAAAAAAAAATATTTGGATCCATTTTATCATGAGCGCTCATCATATATGATATATGGACATACGTGCATTCAAACATATAACACAAAACACAAGTGTGCACACATAATATAATACATACAACACATAACATTATAGTAAAGGCCTTATAACTTTTTACAGGTGAAATCTCCATTGCAATGCTTAAAAACTCTATAGTCAAAAAATAGAACTGATCAGCAAAACATTAACCTAGGTCTGTATGAGCTCAAAAAACAAAATAGAACTTCATGATATGGCAAACGGCAATAATAAAATAGATATTGAAAAAAGCATCCTGGTTCTGTTGCAGATGTAAGAATAGCCAAACTGGAGTTTTGGATATCAGTTGTTATGGATTTGAGCCAAATCATCTTCTTTTTGGTCTGTAGAAATCGCTTTAGTTAATCTTTCTGGAATCCAAATCGGCTGCTGTTCTCCCTGTGGAAACACATAAACAGACCCCCGACTCCAGACAATCACTGGGTCAGGACCTTGGTTAATCTCTCTGGAATCCAAATCGGCTGCTGTTCTCCCTGTGGAAACACACAAACAGACCCCCGACTCCAGACAATTACTGGGTCAGGACCTTTCCATTGTCCTGTTAGAATATCCTTCCAAAGTACCTTGGGCTTATGTACATTTTTTGGACACATATGCCTTTCTGCAGCACTAAGTCCTGATGAATCCAAATTTAAAAAGTTTAGAGTAAAAAGGGTTATTTTAAGTTTATCTTTGGGGAATATATACCCCTTCCCAATTCCTTCTTTTTGCTTTAATAAGTACATTTTAATAGTTTGATGAGCTCTTTCAACTATGCCTTGTCCCTGTGGATTGTATGGGATTCCTGTTATATGAGTAATGCCAAATGTTGAGCAAAATTGTTTAAAAGAGGTAGAAGTATAACCAGGGGCATTATCTGTTTTTAACTGTTTTGGAACACCCACAGTGGCAAAATTTTGTAAGCAATGAGCTATAACATCTTTAGTTTTTTCTCCGGCATGAAGGGAGCTCATCAAAAATCCAGAAGAAGTATCAACTGTAACATGCAAATATTTTAATTTTCCAAATTCTGGCAAGTGTGTGACGTCCATCTGCCAAATATGGTTAGGTATCAATCCTCTAGGATTGACTCCAAGATTAACTTGTGGTAAAAAGGTCACACAATTTTGACATTGTTTTATTATTTGTCTAGCTTGTTCCTTAGTTATTTTAAAACGCTTTTGTAAAGTATTAGCATTGACATGGAACTTTTTATGAAAATTTATAGCTTCTTCTAGTGTAGAGAAAATATGTATGTCATGTGTAGTTTTATCTGCTAAATCATTGCCCAAACTAAGGGCTCCAGGCAATCCTGTATGTGCCCTGATATGTCCTATAAAGAATGGATCTTTTCTGTCCCAGATTAGACTTTGTATAGTGGAAAGCAAAGAGAAAACAGTAGAAGAAGGGGAAATCCTACCAGCATCTTCAAGAGATACTATAGCATTAACTACATACTGACTATCAGAAAATAAATTAAATACAGAATCTTTAAACATCACAAAAGCTTGTAAAACTGCATTAAGCTCTACCTTTTGAGCTGATTGTTTGGGTACTAAAAATGTAAAAGTTTGATCAGGGGTAACTACTGCTGCTGTACCATTATTTGACCCATCAGTGAATATATTTGGAGCATTCATGATAGGTGTTTTCTTGTCATTTTTGGAAAAATTACAGGATGCAATGACCAAAAAGACAATAAAGGATTAGATGGTAAGTGGTTATCAAATGAAACATTAGATTTACACATGATTATTGCCCAAGTATTTAACTCATTAGCTAACTCATCAATTTGATTCATAGTATATGGAGTAATAATTTTATTGGGAGAAATTCCAAACACTCCCTTTGCTGCTTTTATTCCTTTGAGTATTAATTGTCCTACAGCCTCAGGATACCTAGTAAGAATAGTGTTAGGAGAATAAGATAAATGTATCCATAATAATGGACCTTCTTGCCAAAATACTCCTGTAGGAATATTTTTTGTTGGTAGTACAATAAATAATAAAGGCAAACTTATATCAATTCTATCCAAATGCATATTTTCCATATATGTTTCAATGATTTTTAATGCCTTTCTTGCTTCAGGCGTTAACATTCGGGGTGAATTTGGATCTGATGGACCTTTTAGGATATCAAATAAAGGTCCCAACTCTCCTGTTGGTATACCTAAATAAGGCCTTATCCAATTTATGTCTCCTAATAACTTTTGAAAGTCATTAAGTGATTTGAGTTGATCTACTCGTATTTGAATTTTTGGTGGACGGACCATGGTTGAGGATAATAGAACTCCTAAATAATTAATTGGAAAATTTAATTGTACTTTATCTATTGCTATCTCTAGATTATAATTTTTTAATAAGTTTGTAAGTGTGGCATAACATTCTAGCAATGTGTTTTTATCTTTGTGTGCTAATAATACATCATCCATATAGTGAAATATTTGTAGTTCAGGATTTTGATTTCTAAGTGGCTGGATTACTTTGTTAACATAAATTTGACACATAGTTGGGCTGTTAGCCATCCCTTGAGGGAGTACTTTCCATTCATATCTCTGATCAGGACCTTCATGATTCAGTGCAGGGATAGTAAATGCAAAACGTGGACTATCCTCAGGATGAATTGGAATTGAAAAAAAACAATCTTTAATATCTATAACTAAAACATACCAGGTTTTTGGCAAAGCAGACAACTGAGGAATCCCTGATTGAGCAGGTCCCATAATAACCATCTCATTATTAATGGCTCTTAAATCTTGCAATAATCTCCATTTACCAGATTTCTTTTTGATGACAAAAATGGGAGTATTATGGGGAGATACAGAAGGTTGTATATGTCCTTCTGCTAATTGTTGTTTGACCAGGTCATGGGCTGCTTGTATCTTTTCTTTAGTCAGGGGCCACTGAGGAACCCATACTGGTCTTTCTGATTTCCAAGTAATTTTTATTGTCTCAGTGGCCCTTTCTGAAAATCCAACCCATGTCTGTCTGTTCCTTGATCTATTTGTATTGGTGCTGCTATACCTTGTTCTTGTTTTTCTAATCTTTTTCCTTTCCTAAAACCTTGTCTAGTCATAATAGTGGGTGCATTTTGGTTGATGTTATTTGTTAATGTCAAACCTAATTGATCTAGGACATCTCGTCCCCATAAATTTACGGGAAGATGATCCAATACATATGGCTGTATAGTTCCTTCACATCCTTCAGGATCCTTCCAATCTAATACCATTGCACTTCTATGGGGATTAGTCGCCACTCCTAGGCCTCGAAGCGTTTGAGTGGCTTGTTGTAATGGCCAATGTTTTGGCCATTCTTGACGAGAGATGATGCTAAGGTCTGCACCTGTATCCAGTAGCCCATTAAATTCATGTCCTTGAATATTTAGTTTTAGCATGGGGCGAGAATCTAAATTTAAAGAAAGCATAGCCCAATCTACACCTGTGGAGCCTAATCCCTTGGAACCTCTTTCTACAGTACGACTGGAAAATTTATCATGTAGGCTGGGTATTATTAGTAACTGTGCTATTCTATCTCCTGGTGAAATTACTGATATACCCTTTGGAGAACTGGCTATAATTTTTATTTCACCTTCATAATCGGGATCAATTACCCCAGGACTTATCATAAGTCCTTTTAGAGTAGAAGAGCTGCGTCCCAATAATAAGCCTACTGTTCCTTTGGGAAGAGGTCCTTTCACCCCTGTGGGAATGATTTGAACTCCCATCTCTGGAGTTAGTACTGCTCTGGCGGAGGCGCAGATGTCCAACCCTGCGCTCCCTCTGGTTTGTCTGATGAGGGATCTGATGGACAATGTGTCCTGGGCACTACCCTGATGGGGTTGCTGGGTTCCTCCAGTGCTCCGTATATTTGTGGTTTTGGGCCCCGGAGCATTGGGCCCCCCTGTCCGTTTTTTGGCAATGGAGCCCGATGCCTTTCTCCACGATATCGTGGATAAACACCTGGTCCTTGTTCGTTTTTTGATAATGGAGTACCCTCTATGGTGGTTTGAGAACGGCATTCATTAGCCCAATGTCTCCCTCTACGGCATCGTGGGCAAATACCTGGTATTCTACTCCTTTGATACCTAGTTTTGTTAAACCCTCCTCCAATGGGGCAATTCCTTTTAAAATGTCCTGTTTGTTCACAATTGTAGCATGTTCTTGGCCTGGCATCTAAAGCCTGTTTTACTGCAGCTGCCACAATTTGCCCTTGTTCATTAATGTCTCTGGCATCTAAAGCCTGTTTTACTGCAGCTGCCACGACTTGCTCTTGTTCATTAATGTCTCTACATAATTTAATATATGTGTTTAAATCTTCATGTTTCCATGGTCTAATGATATCTCTGCACCAACGATTTGCTTGCTCATAAGCCAGGTGTTTTAGTAATGGCATTGCTTGTTCTGTATTCCCAAAAACTCTGGTAGCTGTTTGAATAAGCCTATCTACAAATTCAGCATAAGTTTCATTAGCTCCTTGTATTACCTTAGATAATTGACCTTGTAAACCTCCATGTCCTTGTAAAGTCTTCCATGCCTTAATTGCATCTGCAGCAATTTGTGCGTATACGCCAGGATCATATGCAATTTGTTGCTGCTGATCCTCATAAGGTCCCTTTCCTAACAACATATCTAGATTTCTCTGAGGATAACCAGCTGCTGCATTTCGCCTAGCCGTCTCCTTGCAAAATTCCTCATTGGCAACCTTCCATAACAGGTATTGTCCTCCATTTAGCACAGCTTTACACATATTAGCCCAATCTGCTGGCGTCATGTTCAAGTTGTTAATGGATTCGACCAAGCTTACAGTGAAGGGTGCTTGAGGACCATAGGTTGTTACAGCCTCTTTTAGCTGCTTCACTGTTTTGAAATTTAAAACTTGGTAAAATCGCTGCCCTCCTGCCTCAAATACAGGGCATGTTAATATTTGAGACCTTGTCTCAGGATCCCAACTATCAACTGTGGGGGTTGGGGGCCTCCCAGCATATGGAGGTGGCGCTGTTGGTTGGACACTTTCGCCCTCTGGTGATAGAAAGGTGTTAGTAGCAGTCTCCTGTAGAGGTGGTGCTGTTGGTTGGACACTTACACCCTCTGGTGATAGAAAGGTGTTAGTAGCAGTCTCCTGTTGTACCTTTCCCCCTGATGGCTTTTTCTGTTTTACACTTTCTTTCTCTGTCTGACTAACTTGAGAGACCTTCTCTTTTACTTGAATCTTTTCCTCTGTCTGACTAACTTGAGAGACCTTCTCTTTTACTTGAATCATTATGTCTTCTTCTTCCTCTACCATTGTCTGAACTGAAGGCTTTGGACTAAGCAAACAAGATATGAACGTCCACAATGGCAATGTGCCAACTGGCAGAGTCCCTGGGCTTTTCTTTTCTATTCTTTTTAAATCTTCACCATGATGGTTCCATTGTGATATATTTAACAAGTCCTCCTTAAAAAGCCATGGGCTACATTTTTGTATTGTATCAACGTATGCCCTGATTGTTCTTGATTTTACTGAGATGCCTCCTTCCTCTAACAATTTACTTAACACTCTTTCAGTTTGTTTTTTACTAATTTCTGATCCCATATTTCTACTATAATACAACCCAACAAGATGACGCCAAACAAAACCGAGACAGAATGAAATAAAAAGGGAACAACAAAAAGTCATTATAGCCTTTCTATCCTCCTGACATGGGCATCCGTCCTTTCTCCCTATCTGTTCCTCAGACGTAAATAGTTTTTCCTCAGATGTGAGCGGTTTTTCTTCCGTCTCACTCATCTCCAGGGACAGGCAACTTAAAACAAAAGTGAAACAAAATAACAAAAGAAGAATCTTAAAATGGCTACCCATCCTCTCGCCCTGCCCTCAGGGGCGAGCAGTTCACTTACCCTCAGTCGCTCCCCGTGCGAGCCACCAAATGCCGCAGTCTGGCTGGGCACAATCAGGAGCCACTTGTCAAAAGAAACTAACTTTATTTTTAGAACCACACACGACAAACAAAATAGTCTCTCAGGAAAAACCCTCAGAGCCTCAACTGCCACCACCGGCTTTCCACAAGCCTCTCTCTCCCACACAAGCTTCTCTCCACCTCCCACAATCCTCCTGCTCTTGAGGCCGATTGGCTGGGTCACGTGGGCGGAGCCAAAAAAGTCCCCCAATGAGCAGCTCCGTGGTCTGAAAGGGCAGGGAAACAGTCCAATGAGCATCACCGCAGAGGAGCCAATCAGCTAGATGTTGCTGGGGCCGAGGAGCCAATCAGCTAGATGTTGCTGGGGCTGCTGTGAGCCAATCATCAGCCGGCAGCTGGAAGTTTGCTGGCAGCTGGAAGTTTGCTGGGGCCCCTCAGGCTGTGGCTCTCAACATGTATCCTTGAATTTGGGCTGGCTTACTAGAATGTTTATAAAATTAATAGCACTGTGTCTGAAAACTGGCAGATAGGATGTTTTTAATTTTACATCTGCCACCATCATACCTTTTACAATGAGAAATTCAAAAAAATTTCAGCTATCATAACTTTTCTCATCTAGTCTAATTTTCTGTTTCTAGTAATAGTATCTTTTACTTACTCTAAATAAAGTTTGAAAAGTGCCTCTTCTGAGGCAACAGTGGTGGTGGTTCTAGTGCTGTTTTGGATTTGATCAGAGTATGTATGTATGTATGTATGTATGTATGTATTTATTTATTTATGGTACGAGGGAGTCAACCCAGGGGTGGTCAACCACTGAGCCACATCCTCAGCCCTTGTTTGTATCTTATTTAGAGACAGGTCTCAATGAGTTGCTTAGGGCCTTATTAAGTTGCTGAGGCTGGCTTTGAACTCACAATCCTCCTGCTTCAGCTTCCTTAGCTGGTGGGATTATAAGCATGTGCCACTGCACCCAGCCAGAGTGCTCTTTATATGGGTGTTTTTCATGTGGAAATTTATCAAGTTATATGCTTAGGATGTGTTCACTTTAAAAATGTTATACCTTAAAAATCTTTTGTGTTAAATTTTTAATGGAGCCAGGCATAGTGATGCATGCATTGTAATACCAGTAACTCAGGAGACTGAGGCAGGAGAATAGTAACTTCAAGGGCAACCTGGGCAATTTAGTGAAACGCTGTCTTAAAAGGGTTGAGGATGTAGCTTGACTAAGAGTCCCCCTCAGTACCACAAAAAAAAAAAAAAAAAAAAGGCGGGGGGGATTTGTTAAGTCAAATTTGATTTCTTTATAATTTTGTAATTTCTTAGCCATCCATCCACATAAAAAAAAGATGCTTGGGCTGGGGTTGTGGCTCAGCAGTACAGCGCTCGCCCAGCGTGTGTGAGGTCCTGGGTTTGATCCTAAGCACCACATAAAAAATAAATAAATAAAATAAGTATTGTATTCATCTACAATTAAACAATAAATATTAAAAAAAAGATGCTAAAATAACAGTATGTGATAGATGGGTCCAAATCATATATATAGTGTATTAAAATGTTTGGAGACTCATATCCCATGACTTTTGTTCATGTTCAATATAGGACTAACCTTGAGTCCAAATTCAGATTTTCTGACATTGTGTTCTACTACTTTTCTCAGAGTTCCCGATTTTGAGGTGCTGGGCTCAGTCACAAGTGGCAGCTCCTTGTGCTTTGAAGAGTAAGGATATATGCCAGTGGAACAACATGAAGTATAAATCAGTAAGCTAATATTTTAATGTTTTTAGATAGTGCTGCCTCTTTTAAGTCTTGTATTTTGTCATAGAATGTGAGTTTTTGTTAGTTTTTAATGTTGTTTCTTTGCTACTGATGGTAACAGTGTTTCCTTATTTGGGTAAAGTTATACAATCATTTAAGGGCTGTTAATCCTGTGCCTCATTGGGTTAGAACATAAGTATAGCTGATACACTTTTTAAAGGTGTGAAATGCTGAGGAAAAATAGTGTAAAGTTCATTTTGTTTTCCTTTATCAATAAAACTTTATTTTTATTTAGAACTTTTTATTAGTTTTTAACAAGAAAATAATTATATTACATAGAGGAAGTAGAAAAAGGAAACTAAAACCCAGTGCTATCATTTAAACTTACCATAAAGCTTCTAGACAGTTGCTATTTTTTTTTTTTTTTTTTTTATCTAGTCTGGGCCACTTTGGGCCATTTGTAGTTTTGACTTCCCCAGCTTGTTTTCAGATATTATTAAATTGGTCATTAATACTTTCTAAGCACCAGCTTTGTCTTAGGAATCTACAGTTTCTACTTACCCCCCTCCCCTTTCTTTGTTAACAGAAGTCTACTTCTTTCCTCTCTTCATCATGATAAGTCTCTTTACAAAGTACCTCTTTTCCTTTTTTTTTTCCCACTATCCTTTTGTTCCCCTTTTATGAGCTGCCTTTTAATTGGTGCTTGTATTACTGTTAGTTTCTTTGTTTCTAATTCTCCTTAAGGCCTGCTTTGTTTGGTTGAATGGTACAATCTGTATTTTAATTTTTAGTATATTTTTACAAGGAGCCAAGTGAACTTGCAACAAAAACTGTCAGTTAGATAACCAGAGGGCAGGTTTATTCATGTGTACTGTTGTGGATATTTAAATTTAGAGTAATATTCTTATGGTTGCTTAGAAATCTGTCCACCAGCTAGCTCAGGAAACTACTGCTTACAGTGAAGACCTACTGTAAAGCACTGCTGTTTTTTATTGGAGGACATTCTTTGTATCAACTTTTAGGAAGATGGATGGCAGCTAATCTCTTACACAATATCGATTACCATTTTCAGTAGACTGCCATTGCCATTTTGTACCTGAAAAAATCTGGAGAATTGCATTTGATTTTTTTATATGAGTGAAGAGTATGCTTAAGAGTTTATAGATTGTTTTCCTTTTATTTATTCTTTATATGTACCAGGAAAATAGGTATTAGGCCATTAATTAGGTGGTATTCTAAACTAAGATTTAAGATGCCTTTTTTTTAAAGTTGATTTTCAGATAGTGTTTGTTATAGATTTTATTGATAACTGGCTTTTTTTTTAATGTGAAATTAAAATCCAGGTGTGTATAAACAGAAAAGGAAAGTATTCCCAGGTTACCTAAATTTTAATTAAAAAAAAAAAACTTGTTTAAAAACTTATTTTTAAACATAAAATTTCCCAAGGTTCCTAATTAAACCCCTTTATCTTCAAAACCAAACAGAACATAGAAAGTAAATTGAACATAGGAGAATTTTTCATTGCTAGCCATAGGAAAGGATATATTCAGTTTTGTGATTTGTGAATAACAAACTGGAAAAAGCTATCTGAGGAGAGATACTACAAAACAACTAAACAGATACTTTATTTTATTGTTTTTTCTCTAGAGCTCAAATTATAATTCTATATTCAAAGGTAAAACATAGCCAAAGGAAGTAATTGTTTATATTGATTATAGAGGTGATGCTGGGATATAGTTTTTTTTAAAAAATAATACACTGAATTCTATATAACAAGTAGAAAAAGTTCAAACTAATGTGAAATCAATTATTATGGGAATTTGAATCTATAACATTAAATGAAATGGTGGATCTGAAAGTCATTCAAACACTAATGTTGTATGTAATATAGCATTGGCTAAAAAATATTTAAAAGAAAAGAGAAAAAGATCAAATTAAAAAAAATCCAAGAAATAGCAGTCTCCCTTTAGGACATACATTTGAAATGTTTCTTATTTTTTATCCTCTCTCCACAGATATATAAGAATGTGACTCTACAAGTTCCAGTGGGACTGACTATACATACCTCTTTAGTATGTTCTGTGACTCTGCTCATTACAATCCTGTGTTCTACTTTGATTCTTGTAGCTGTTTTCAAATATGGTCATTTTTCTTTGTAAATTTTATGCAGTTTAATGTTTTCTATAAACCAAAAAAGATATGTTAATGTGACTAGAGGTGTTCTTCCAGAATTAACTCATTGCTTTGTTATTTTTTTCTTTTTTTGAGGCAACAACAGAGGTAGTCATTATTAAAAGAACTGAAATAAATCTCCCAAGTCATATATCTGAGGAACTGCATAATTAAAAAATAATGGCCAATATTTCTAGAGGTCATTATATGTCAAAAACACTTCTGTATTAGGTACTTCATCTTCTTTCACTCATAATAGCTCTAGAATTCAGGTACTATGACTGCCTATATTTTATAGGTAACATGATCAGAGTTCACCATATAGACTGCCCAAGGTCACACTTGAACTCAATGGAAAATCATGGATGCAAATTCAAACAATTTGAACAGCTTACTCAAGAAGAGAAAGATGAAAAACAAGACACTACTCCAGAAAACCTTGGGATGAGATTATAATCAAAAACTATTTTCAATAATATATGGTAATTATGAACATTTAGAAAAGCTAATGTACAGTGGAGCCCAACAATCATTACATAATCAAGACCTATTTTAGGAAGATTAGGAAAATGGCATCTGGAGGGTGTCAGAGAGACTTGAGTGCTGAAGTGGGAAAAGGATGTGTTGGGGTGAATCCACATACTTCCTGATGATAAGAATATACATTGAAATTGATGAAAGTGTTACTATTTGAAATAAAGACATTTTCTTCATTTTCTTTTAAGATATATATCATGTGATTCCTTGCCCCCAAAATGAAAAAGACCAAACAACTATATATTAGTGTAAGAAATGCTGTTTTCTTTGAAGTTGGCCTTGGGATCTCAGCCAAAACCCTCCTTCTTCTCTTCCACATCTTCACATTCCTTCTCCACTCAGGCTTAAGACCATCGACCTCATCATTGGTCTCTTGGCTTTAATCCACCTGGGGATGCTGATAATTATGGGGTACATAGCTACAAATGTTTATGTGTCTCATGATTTTTGGAATGACACAAACTGTAAATCACTTTTACTCATACAGGTTTTTGAGGGGTTCTCCATTTGTGCCACTTGCCTGTTGAGTGTCCTCCAGGCCATCACCCTCAGCCCCAGAAGCTCCTGCTTGGCATAGTTCAAAGATAAATCCTTACATCCGACCCTGTGCTTCATTGTGTTTCTGTGGGTCTTCTACATTTCCTTGATTGCTCACTTCTCAATCTTACTACTAACATCCCCAGTGTAACCTCACGTGTTCTTGTATTTATTGCTGAATCCTGTATTATTTTACCAATTAGTTACTTCCTCAGGCATTTATTTTCCATATTGGGTATATTCCGGGATGTCATTCTTATAGGGCTCATGGCCCTCTCTAGTGGGTACATGGTATGTCTCTTGTGCAGGCATAAGAGGCACTTCTAGCACCTTCACAACCTATCTCCAAAACTATACCCTATAGAGAAAGGGCCACCTGGACCATCTTGTTGCTCATGAGCTTTTCACCCTCATGTACTGTTTGGATTGTATTTTCTCATCCACAAGTACTGTGTCGAACAATGACCATGTTTGTCATTTTATCCAGATGATGATGTCCCTATGCCATAACCTGTCCTTCCTTGCTCCTCTGAGCACACGGAGAGTCCACAGCATCCCATGAGAGGAGGGACTAAGGAGGCTGCACAGCGGGTCCTCAGTCAACCTCCCGTGGCTTCCTATGGAAGTGGGAAACTAAGGCCCTGGAGGAGCAGAATCTGAGCTCACATTTCTGAGCTCACATTTCTGGCTTGGGAGCCCTAGGGCCTCCCTCCCTGCTGGTTCCACAGCGACCTCTGACAGGATTTCCAGACACAAGCTCTAGCCTCAAGGCCAAATGTAGGGTTTGGTAGACCATGAGAGAATGAAATAGTATGCACTAAGTATATTCTTCACAATTGTCCTAATTAATGATATAGGATGGCAGGTAAATAGCTATTGATTTGATACCTTGTATCTTTCACCTTCTTTTTAAGATCTAAATCTAGTTATATAATCTAAATTATCTATTTTTTTTTTGGTACCGGGAATTGAACCCAGGGCCACTTAACCACGGAGCCATATCCCCAGACCATTTAGAAAAAAAAAATTTTGTTGGTTTTTAAACTTGAGACAGGGTCTTGCTAAGTTGCTTAGGCCTTGCTATGTTGCTGAGATTGGCCTCTGAACTTTTGATCCTTCTGCTTCAACATCCTGAGTTGTTGAGATTATAGGTAAGCACAACCACACCCAGCTCTAAATTATGTCTTTTTAGGGGTTGTGTTAATATGTCTCTGTTATTAGTAATATCTTTTTTAAATTTTTATGATATCTTTATTTCAGCCTCATTCATCTGATTGATAATTTAGTTAGGTGGACACTTAGTTGTTTTCTCTTGGTACTTTGAAAATTTTATTTCATTATAGACTAACATCCCTTTGATGCTTTGGAAAAATATGCTATGAATTTAATAAGTTGTTTCTTCGTAGGCAATGTCTTTTACTTTTGGTTGTTATATCTCAGGGGTTCTGCAATTTTACTTTGATATGTTTGAGATTTCTTTTTTCACTGCTTGGAATTCAGTTTGCTTCCTGAATCTGAAGATTCTTATCTTTAATAAGTTCTGGAAGATTCTCAACATTCTCATCATGAGGAGCCTTTATTTCATCATGAACTGTTGTTTGATGTTACTAACAACAGAGACCTTTTGTTTTTTTCTCTCCATGAATTCTCATTAGGGATATGATAGACATTTTTAGTCTATCTCCATGTCTCTTAAATTTTTTTTCATTTTTTTCTCTGTCTCTGAACTGTTTTCAGCCTCTCAACCCACTGTAGATTGAAACCAGGGGCACATCCTGTTCTCAGTAATTTCTTTAGATCTGTCTTCCAGTTTACTAATTTTCTTTTCAATTGTGTGCAATCTGCTTTTTAACCCAAACATTGGATTTAGTTTCAGTTACTCTTTATTTCTGAAAATTCTACTTGGTTTCTTTACAAAGTTGCTTAGTCATTTTTTAAAAAATTAGTTTTGTTTCTTGTGTTTTTTAGTTCCTGTCTTATTTAATCATTTAAATAAACTTATTTTATATTCTCTAACCAGTCATTCCAACATCTATATGGACTTCGTGTCTGTTTTAATTTCTCTTGATCTGCTCATGGTGGGTTATTTCCTTGGGTGTATTATAAGCATATTTTGGGTACTTATGTTTAGCTTTTGAAATCCTCTCATCTGTGGAATTCTTTGAGAGCTGGGTTGAAGGTGCATCTATGCAGTGAGGATTTGTATTTGTTTCTTCCAGATCCTTAATTAAGCATTATCAGTTACTTTCCTGACATGAAGTTTCCTGAATTTTGCTATAAAGTGGAACTTTTAAACTTTTAAGGGAAAATTTAGTTAAGAATTCTACAGACTAATTTTTATTTTTCTGTCTATGCCAAGCCAAGGATAAAGTAAATATTCTGCATGTTCCCAGTATGTTCTTGAGGGTATAACCCCTTTGAGTTACCAAGATCACAGACCCATCTTCCTGAATAGGTCCAAGGCCTTATCTTTGCTCTCTTGTCTCCTTTACAGCCTTTAAAACCATACAGATTTCTTTGATAAGTAGGTACTCTCAATCTGAACAACCATGGTTTTTCTGCCCTGCATACCACTCTGGTTTCCTTCTTGTTTGGGTTAGTGTGAAGTTTGGAAGACTACCAAAAACATTCTTCTTCTTCTTTTTTTTTTTTTTTTTTTTTTCTGCAGGATTAGTTATGCCTTTGTAAGGATGCCCTTTTTAATCCAGTTTTTGGTGTGTTTAATAATGGGAACATTTTTCAGTTGCCATGTTGCTTCTTGGTTCTTTTCTCTAAATATGATATATCAATTGAGTTTTTTGCTCTGCCTCCTGAGATTACCTCTCTCCTTTTCCACTGTTGTCTGCCTAGTGTCCATCATGATTACTGCCTCTCTCATTCACTTGCCTTCTCCTCTTGCATCCCTATACTCTGTTCTCCAATTAGCAGTCTAGTGATCTTGAAGTATAAGCCAGATAATATCACTGCTTCACTTAAAACCTTTTAGTGGATTCTTGGAATGAATTGCAGACTTCCTACTATGGCATTCAAATTTTGTTTATTGTTCATTTGTTTGGTTTTTGGTGTTTTGGTACTGGGGATTTAACCCTGTGGCACTTAACCACTGAGCCTTTATTAATTTTTTTTTTTTTTTTTAATTTTGAGACAGGGTCTTACTGTATTGCTTAGGGCCTTGCTGAGTTGCTGAGGCTGTCCTCAAACTTGGGATCCTCCCACCTCAGCCTCCTGAACCTTTGGGATAACAGGCATGTACCACCACACTTGGCTACATAGGCTTTCTTAACTGACAATGGAAACCTATTTTCTCCTCCGGCCTGTAATGCTTTCCCTTGGATGTTTCTCATGGCTTAAAGGTCAACTCTGAAAAGAGGGCTTCTTTGGCCACTCTATCCAAAGTAATCTCCCTCAGTTTTTTCCTCATACCAGATATTAGTACTTTAATTACTCTTTTCATATTTGTAAGTTTCACAAAGACAAGGTGAGTCATGTTCACCTGTATCCCTGATGACTAATGGGTATCCCATATATTAGACACTGAAATGTGTGTTGAATACATGAATACATTCATTGACTCTGTGGAAAAAATAAAGAAGCCTTAATCTGCGAAGAGTTGGGTTTAAATCAGCAGCAAAATGTAGTAAGAATTTGTAGGTTAAAAAAAGAAATAAAAAGCAAAATGGAGAATGGATGAATTTCCAGAAATGTATTGGATCAAATATGTCAGCAATCCTCTGGCAGCTCTGACAGGATCATCAGTATGCACAACCTGACTGGAGACAGTGCAATGCTGAATTAAATGAGGAAATGGCTGTCCTTCTCAATACAAAGATCATCCCCACTCCACCCACCCAAAAAAGGCAGGGTGTGTGTTGGGGGGGGGGGGAGCAGTAATCATGATTAAACTACAACTCCCAGGATCCCCGCGCGAGCCCGCCCATTGGGAGGTTGTGCACAACTCCGTCCCCCGAGCCCAGGCTGCGGTTAGGGCGGGGCCGTGCTCTTGCCCCGCCCCCCGCCCATCGCCCTCGCCCTCCCCGAGGGTTGTGGCCACGCGCAGCGGCGG